AATATGATTGGAAGAAATTTATAATGTTCAATGCTCGTATCTTACGGGCAGCTTTACTGGAAATAGATCCTACATTTCCTGCTGCTGTCTCTATTGAAGCTATATATGCCGAAGTTACATCTGGAAAATCGCTTATCATTCTGTTTCTGTTATAACAGTGTCAAAAACTTCAACTTCAGCCATTTTCTTCTCTGCCTCATCCAGCAAATCCACTTTTGACATTGGCTCCTGTGGATATTAGTTCTGTACAATGTTTCTATCATCTAAAATGTGTTCTAAATTTTATACGACCCGTGCACTCTCTTTTTTGGATATCTCTAAGTATTGTAACGAGCAGGCGTCCACCAACTTAAACCACCTTGTAATGGAATGATCATTAAGACTTATAATCCCCAGCTTTTTTAACATCCTCTGTAAGAAAACCGGGATCACAAATTTAGGCCAAATACTACCACCCAGTAGCTCAGATCCTCATCTTTTAAAATACATACCCTACCTCGTCGAACTCTACACTCTACTATTTACATATGTTATTCGTGGAGTAGATCCAACCACTTCTGAAAAAAAGAAATAATTTTGAAACTACTTGGAGATAAGATATTGATACGGCGATCAATACGTATTACTAACGCTCTAAGACCAACTTTCGTGTTGTAGCAGGAAATAGTGATGTAATTGACCACTCTATTCAATGTGATGTTTTTATATTTAAACAATGATACAGAGTTGCAATACCTGTCAACTAGACCATCCCACATATTCCTATAAGTTTCGAGGAAAAGTAATTTCAAAACGCGATGATCCTGTTTCTGTAGCTCCTATTGATACCACTGATTCAGTTACAACTCCTTCGAATTCCCTCACTCAAATCCCAACCACGGAAGACGTTTGCCCATTTATTACTATTAATCTACAAAATATCAAACAAGCCTCTTTTGGAAACTTCACCAGATGAGAGTTCATATGATTGCATTGTCCTCAAAAAGACCAACACAAAAGGCAAAATTATCTAGTTACAATTCTTATGGTTCTAATCACAGTTTAGGTATTGTTGGACGTGGGAGGGTAATCTATAATCGGGTTCATCTCCCCATCCGATTTCATTATACAAGGGGAAAAAATCATCGCTAAATAAAGAAAATATGTAGGGTTGGCTATTGAACTTGAAAATAGGAACCCAAAAAGATAAGCATGAAAATGGACATATCACTTGATCCGGCTAATGATTACATAACAAACTAAGCCATCTTGACTTTTCATTGAAAACAAAATCTCTAAATTACTGGCTTCCCCACTTTGTTTATCGAAAGCTTGGTGTTTCAATAGTTTTTATCGTTACATCGTTCCCACAGTTAACTTGAAAATACTACTTTTATGACTATTTTACAATAGAGTAACATTTTACGATTGGAAGTTCTGGTTCTGTTTGCTTTGTCAGTGAGGAAGTCAGTAATGTTGGGATTTTATTCTCATTATAAAGTGGAGACAGCTTAGTCTGCTATCTGATCATTATGCGGATCAAGTGATATGTCCAATTCCATCCCTATCTTGTTTGTTTCCTTTTTTCAAATTCATTAGCCAGCTCTACGTAGCTTTTTTATTTAACGATAAATGTTTTCCTAATACGTTTTTATTTTTTTATAAGATGGCGTCGTGGGTTACTAGGTTATAGAGTGCATTCCAAAGCTTTATACATTTTGCATAAAATATTAATATAATAGGTTGTCAAAGATCGTGAAGACTGTTTTGCTTAACCAAATTATAATAAAATTATAGTTAGTGCTAGAACTAGGTAGGCGCTAGGTTTGTTTAAGAAAGATGATGATGAACGAAAATAAGAAATCTTGGTTTTGGCTGTTCGACATTGGGACATTCTGGATAGCTGAAAAACGGCATATAAACATGGGATAGAGCGACTATGCCAGATAGTTCTTCATATCTAGCTTCTGATTAGTTGTAGAGAAGAAAATCCAAATGATTTTTGCATTGCTTTAATACGGGCGTCCGAGACATCCCTACATAAAGATCCCTACTCTCCGATTCCCCAGACATCCCTACATAAAGAGTGCTAAAGCATTCTCCGATTCCCCAGAATTATTTTCTTTAACAACTTATTCTCACTGTTGTTTGTTTGTAATCAAGCACGAAGCTACACAATGGGATATCTGTGGTCTGCCCACCACGAGTATCGAAACCCGGATTCTAGCGTTGTAAGTCCGCAGACATACTGCTGTGCCACTGGGGGGGCTATTCTCACTGTATACTTTCCTTCCACAATCATCACATTTGTTACAGTATATATTTTTTAATTTAATGGTCCCCAACCTCACCATTTCTTCTACTACTTGGATAGCAATATCAGATATTATATCAATTTGGCTGACATAAATTATTATAGCAAAATTTCTTCACAAATAGATTAGTTGCAATCTACTTTGCATAATATTACTGATTCTATGTCACACCTGGAATCAAACTTTTCAACAGATGTTGTTCTAGCTTCAGCAAATCTAGCTGCTCTTCCTCAGCACGTGTGATCCAGCAGGTAGTGATCAACTACCCACACAAGTTCAATGTAACCTATGATCATCCCAACACAAATAGGATCTTTGTATACTACCATAATGCCGATTGCCATCTTCCAGAATTCGTGTTGAAAGAGATATAGATAATGTTGATAGGAATTATTTCTCTATTGATTATGTTAATTCAATTGCGACCATTCCTGTACACGCTCTCACCCGTTCCTTACATATCCCAGCTCATCATTGTACTCCATATAGACCAGTTGAGCAGTGGATCCTTTGCGCATTTCTTTGTCATCACTTCAGGACTATCATCGTTGTCATGACTCATCTATTTCATTTCATCATAGATGTCTCCAACATACTGCCAGTAATAATGTACGAGCTGTGAAGAAATAGCAATAGCGCCAGGTTTGCAAACAAATACGACATTTTTCAAATCCTTCCCATTACCAGAACAAAAGTGCTTGAGTTTCCAATTCTTGTGGATATTGTTGCACCTCCTTCCTCACTTGAAAAACCTAATAGTTTTGCCACATTTCATTGAGTTAATTCTACAGCTCTGGAAAAGCATACTCTCGACTTTGAAGATACTACAAATATTCTTGGCTTGACTGATCATTCACATCCTAGGTTGTTTTGGATTATATGTTATCTTTGACAGTAAAAGATCTTCAACTGTACTTGAGGGTAGACTGAGCACTGCCCCTAGTCCAGATAGGATCACATATTTTCATCTCAAACATGCTCCTGTGAAGCTCCTTGCAACATTTTATTCCTTTCTTCTTCGTTTCGGTTTTACCCCGATTCCTGAAATAATTGTATTCTTTTCTTTTATTAATATTTAATAAGCCTCCAGCAAGTGGTGATTCTTAATGTTCTATCAATCTTACTAATGTGCTTTGAACACAGTTTAAAGACTCCATAGAGTTATTGATTATCATAAACTCTTGTTATATACCCAGAGTGGGTTTCGTGCATAATTATCGACAATGGATCATCTTCTAAAGTTATTGGACTCTATCTCAAATCATTTTAACACAAACAAGCCTTCATGTATGTTACCTTTTGATTTTGAACATGATTTCAATTCTATCAGGAACAGTTGTTGAATCTACAAACTAAGAAACACTACCAACTGAGTTACCAGCTGTTTTTCTTGAAAGGACACTATCTTGATCTTTAGATGTTTCTGCTGAAGTTCCTCAAAGCTCAGTTCTATCGTCTTTTCTGTATATTATTTGTGATGTTAACATGCCTAAACAGATATGTCCTGTTCGATTATACCAATACGACGATGATACCTTCTTGTGGCCACCTGTAAGACTATGCTTGCTTTCAATAAAGTTCTTCAGGCTGCAGTAAATATCTTTTTAACTTGGGTTCATCACCAACGTCTTACCCTTGATGTCACAAAAACAATAACGATACATTCTGGTCTTAAATAAAGAAAGTTTCTCTCATGTTGGGACCTTTTGTTATATAGTGCCAAAATCAACAACATTCAAATCTCTGAGAAGTTAAGTATCTAGGTGTCATCTTCAATAAACACCAAACTTGGAAAGCCCATATGACGGTTCTCAATAACAAGGGCACTCAACTTCTTAACCCTTTACAATGACTAAAAGGAACCCCTTTTTTTACACATATAATACATTTGTCCAAACCCAAGTCCAATATGGTCATATTGCCTGGATTTCTATGTATTCTGGTTTTGGAACTACATGATTTGCGAATTGTTTTCAACAATAAACGTTCTATTCCTACAAAGGAGCTGTATAATGTAATCACTTTTCTTCCTATACTTTTCCATACACGCATACTTCACACCAACTATGCTAAACGATGTATTCTTTCTCAAAATGTAATATTTTCTCAGCCAGAATGTTCATCCTTTAAGGAAACTCTTGTCGCTAACTGGTCATCTATTAAACTTGTATGTTATGTCGCTTCTAGTTGATGATTCTAATCATGTGGAAATCCCAATGTCAAACTTACTCAGTTGTATTTATTCAGATAGATGAATGACTCTTTTTCTTTCTATCTTTCTCCCATTTGTTCTGTCTATTAAAAACGTGTGATTGAATGTTTAAGCACCGTAATAAAGGTAGCGCGAGAAGTGTGCCGGCACAAAGCGCCGTCCCGTAGACAAGGATAGATTTAGTTTTTAGGAGAGTTGCAGAACCTATATATCTCGCATAGGCCACCATCGACAATTGGTACGGTCCTGATTTATTTCGCACAAAGCTATTCGAAGGCTATTTGCGCTAGCCGCCCATAATTTAAAGTGAAAAACTAGAAATAAAACAGCTAGTCAGCACCGCCTACCACCAACTTTTGAGCTACTAACGAACAGTGAGATTGACCATCACATTACAACGTTCCCACACTTGAAAGGATGAGCATGTTCGGCGACAGGATTCGAGTCTAGTGCCCAATCATCAGCCATGATACACGAAGAAATAAGATTCGTCGTAACTCACAGTAACTTTTAATACATCCAACCACATAATATTAAACACAAGCTGTCAAAGAATTTCCTTTTCTCAATAATACATACATAGTGCCGGAGAAGACATATCAATATAACACCTTCAGAATTTTCTTTTCTCAATAATACATACATAGTGCCGGAGAAGACATATCAATATAACACCTTCAGAATTTCCTTTTCTCAATAATACATACATAGTGCCGAAGAAGACATAGCAATATAACACTTTCAAATAAGATTAATTATACACATTCATTGGCTCAAAACTTTTAATAGCTCATACAAAAGTTTCAGAAAATTCAATCGTTTCAATCTATGCTGAAGAAAATATTGAATTACAGATGAGCTACAATAATAGTTGGTGAAGTAATAAAATTAAACCCTAGAAAGGAGTGGTTGAAACTTTTTGAAAAACAAAACGTGGAACCCAATAAGTCGCGCATGTGAATGTGTTTATGTTATTATATTCACACTGAGAAATCACAACTGATTTAACTTCCAAACAAAACAACTTGTGCTACATGATAGTAAAGGCTACATTTATCATGTCACGAAAACACTCGAGTTTCTTAACGGTTATCTTAAGAACACATATACATCAAGGGTACATCTAACGTGATACTACCCGTTATTACAGAACTAAGCCGCTAGGTGGCTAGCTCAACAGAGAGGTAGACGGTCGCTTAAATAGATAAAGGGTAATATTTTATCAACTTCATAATTACACCACGCTACGTTTTTAGATACTAACTCACACAAAATACTATAGTTTTCCTACATACATTAAGATAATTCTGTTCGAACGTGAAACATACTGATACAACCAAACTAAGCCTAACATGACCGCCACACTGTGATACAAAAAGTTACTTGAACATATAATACAACACAATACTTTTTTTCTTTACAAAAAAAGACTAAGTTTCTCGGTGGTCATAAATCCCTGTAACACATACGATACGGCACAACACAGACACAACATACAACTTCTTTCCTTATACAGTCGTTATTCCTCAATTTTACAAAACGTGTACCAATGAATTGGAACATATCTATAACTCTTCCGTTTTGTGTAGTTCGATACTTCTTGAAATCTGCATCCGTCAAGCTGCTAGTCACTGTTTCTGCTTTATTATCAGCAACAGTCCACTCTTAAAAGAAAAATTCGGTCCTCGTCTCGTGAGTGTATTCAAGTCATTTGCGTTGAATTACATAGCTGATAATTCAATCACTGATATTCTGAGAACTTTGAAAAATAAACGTAAACCTAAACAGCGGGAGAAAACTGTTCAGTATTGTCACTTTCTAACATACATAAGCCAATACATCATTTAGTTCAGATGCACGACGAAAATTCTGTACATCTTTGTCAGCTCAAAAGCTGATTTCGAAGCAGGAACGTTACATTAGAAGAATCCACCTCAAGTCAGCACTGGCCCTTTTATGGAATACTCTTTTCATTTTTCTGTTACTTCGAAACGGTGAATAATTGTGTCGTGTAGGGGTAGAAATAGCGTTAGATTTGCTTCTTAGGATTCTTGGGTAGAGACAAGACTCCCACTTGGCGACAAAAGTCCTCGCCGTCTACACGTACACCCAGTGACTTAGCTGCAAAAACGAACAAATTATTCAATTCAGCGAATCTTATTATTATTTTAATATCTAATATAATGAAGTAAGAAAGTTCATTAGGCCTCACAGAAACATTTCATATATGCGATGGATAAATTAATAGGAATGTTAATAGAAAAATCAAAAGACACCCAAGCTTACACAAGTTTTTCGTCACATTTATTAAGTCTAGAAAAATCAGTTATACATTTTTTGGCCAACTACGAAACATAACCTTAACGAATGATAATATTGTAGCAACAGCTTCTAATCGAACAGCATCCCGGTGACTCAGTGATATATCTGAGGGCTTATAACACTAAATATCGGATTGGTAGAGGACAAATACCTTATTTTGCAGTTTTAGGACTAACAAAAAACAAACAAATGAATCAAAAACGCTACCCGGTGGCTCAGCGGTAAGTATAAGGGCTTAAAGCGCTAAAAATTGGAAAAAGATAAATAGGTCACTGTGTAGTTTTGCGCTTAACAACAAACAATCAAGTGAATCAAAGGCATACCTGGTGGCTCAGCGGTAAGTTGAAGATTTATAACGCTAAAAATTGGATTTCAATACCCGCAGTTGGCAGAACATAGATAATCCATTGTGTAATTTGTGCTTAAGAACAAACAAACAGAACCAAAACTCTAAATTACTAAGACGGCTAACTTCTTATGTCTACAAGCGTAATGGAATTCGAACCGCGCCATCTGACGACTGGTTTGATAGCATTTATCAAACCGCCTATTTAACCACACACTTTATGAAATGTTCAGGTGTTTTTATAGAGTAACATTAGGAACGTGTTGTTTTTTTATATGAAATATGTCGACGAGTGAAATAATCTGATTTTTCATGCATTAGGGTGTATTGATGTAAGTAGGTTGTCACATCTAATGTAAATGTTTAAGAAGTCGTAATATGAATCCCTATGATAGCTTGACAATTGAACATGAAACAGGAAGAGATGCTGTATCCAAGCCTTTGAAACTGCTTGCAGTAAACAAACGAAGAAACACTTCAAATAATATTATTCTATATTATATTGAATACGTTTTATTGAAGTTTATAAATTAGGCATACATATCAGCACGTTTGTCAATCAATCAAATACATCATTAAATACAAATGAATGATTCAATGGAGAAACTGTTGATACTCGGGATTAACTGCAAAGTGAAGTGTTTATTATGATACAAAGCTGATAACTACTGTGTATGGTATATTTTACAAACGCTTTAACTTAAAAATTCTTATGATCCCATTTCTTATTAGGACATGTATCAGAATTAGAAAAATTTGATGTTTTTAAGGTGTTGTGCAACTTGACCTTAATGTAAAGCGCGGATAGAGTGACAACATATTTGAGACATTTTACTGCTCTACATTTGCCTAGCTTTTTTTTCTTACACTTCTCGCGTGCATGAAATACAAATTACGCTAGGAGACTGGATATATAGCAACAGGGGAGAGTACTGTGAATGTTATTTTTCCTGTACCTGTTGCTAACACGTATTTTATGATGTTAAATTTGAACTAGCACGCTGTCTCTTGATGAACAATTTTCTTGGATGTGGTGAAATGTTGGGAAAATAAATAACTCGGGATTTCTAGCGAATTTTGGAAAGAAATAAAATCATTCTCCTGATTTTAAACGAGGGAACTTATTGTGATTAATATCTAGTATGTTTGTAAAACGAACGTGGAAATGATATTACTCACTTTATTAGCCCAAATAAATTAGTTCAAATAAATATATACAGTAACAAAGCAATATTAAACCTGCCGCTTGAAACGGTGCTGTTAGCATAATTATATTAGGTCGTCAAGAAATTAATGTCGCGTTTTGGAACATTAACTACCCCAAAAACGTAAATCATGTATAATAGTTAAACGAACTGCCTAAGTGTAGCCTATATAATGTGTACAGTTTAGTATACTCTAACCCCTTATAGTGATCACACACGACGAGACACACATTCAGCACGTAATGCTATTTGAATACAGAAAGGGAAACAACGCCTCTGTAGCCACAAAGAATATAAAATAAGTTTATGAAAATGTTTTGAAAGTTCGTAAGTGTCAACGATGGTTCAGCAAAGTTCGTTCAGGTGACTTTAGCCTTAAAAACTGTGATGGCAGGGGCCG